TAAACCCCTTACGCTGACATAGAAAATTTTGTGTGTTACACTTACATCTAAGCGCATGAAATTTTTTAAAATTAGGCTTATCTTTTTTGGTGGGTTTGGATAAAAAACAACAACTGAATTGGGATTTGAATTTTCATTCAACCTCTGCAAGATGTGATTTTCAGTAGCAGTTCAATAACTTTCCGATTGATGAGACTATCATCGACAGCAAGAACATGAACTTCATCAGAATCAAAAGACGGACACAAAATATCAAACTCCTCCATCTTCTCCGCCATCCACTGCCGCGAAAATACTCCATTCCTCGCCATGACTAAAATATACTTCAGAAGAAGTGAAAAACAGAATTTTCTAGGGAGAAGAAGTGAGAAAACAGTGATATTTGTTCATATTATACAAAAGGGGTGTTGGAATGTTAGTAAAATGTCTTCTTCATATACGAATTACGATATCTTTTACTTTCTCTCTCTATATATGAAAAAGAACGGTGTTCAAAATCAAATCTGGTGAATCCAATTTTCACTCAATTTCATGGGTGAAAATTGCTGGAAATCACTAACCACCACTCAGTTTCATTCAATTTTATGTGGGTTTTTGTCATCTAATTTCTTGGAAGGTGCTAGAAAATCAGTGTGAGGGGTTATTTGGGGGGAAAGGGGGGTGGGGGCGAGACGGGGGAGGGTTGGTTAAAATAATAAAAAGATTTTTTTAATGTATTTAGTTTATATTTATTAAAATTTTATTATAAATTACACATGTCATTCTTTAATTGGTTTATTTGACATGTCACTGGCGAGGGCAACTTATACATATAGTCTGCCAGACTCGGGTGTTCACGAGATACATTTAATATTCACTTGAAATATTAAAATGAAAAAGGGATCAGTTAAGATATTCAAATGACCGTTGTGAACAACTTAAAAAAATTATTTATGTATTTTGCCTACTATTTATCATAATACCCACACTGATTTTCAATTAAGAGTATTGAACAGGGGACGTAATAGGAAGTGCAACAAAAAGAGATTAATTACCACGGGGACTGCTTTACTTTTTCCAAGAAAGACCAAAATAAAGTGACGCGTGTTATGCACATGTTTAGTACTTAAATCAGCATGGAGTCTTTGAAAAAGGTGTCAATGTTGTCGTCATTTTAGAACAAATGTACGCACAAAGGTATCGTCTGGCAGGAGGTATTAAAAAAATAATGAAAGCATTAGTTTTATGTATTACTAATATCTTATTTGGTATATTTTTTAATTTGTGTTTAACTAATACAAGTATTAATTATACAACATATTTGGTATTATATTGTATATACGTAATGCATAGAAAATCATGACATTAATAATACCAAGATTAATGCATGCATTAGTATAATTAAAGACAAAAATATCCTTAAAGTCTCTTAAAGCTAGAGAATATGGAGAGCATTTTTGTAAACAACTACTCCCTCCGGTCCAAAATAAGTGATTTTTTGGCTTTTTTCTTGTGGTCTAAAATAAGTAATTTTTCCAGATTTCAAGAATGAATTAATTATTTTTTTCCTATATTGTCCCTGGAGTAAATAGTGTTGGAATATGTGTTAGGAGTATTTATGTGAGATAATAAAGGTTAATATGGTCAATTCTATTGGTAATTAATGCTAAAAGGTGGATTTCTTAATCTGTATGAAAATATCCAAAAAATCACTTATTTTGGACCGGAGGGAGTAATTTTCTTAAAAATTATGCAATGCATTATAATTTTAATACATCACACCAAACAATAGATAAGAAATAATATCTGCATAACTAATGTTTGCATTACTAACTCATGCATTACTAATCCATACATTACTAATACACTTTATTCCGTATTATTCTTGTACACCCTACCAAACGACCCCAAAGAATGTTGTATGTACAATGCAAAGCAATTTAGAATTACCAAAAAGCCCTTCGTAGTACCATCAACCTTCACTTATTATATAGTTAAAAAACTAGCGAGGTTTTGCCCGGGGCCAACGGAAACAAAAATATATTGTTTTGTTATTCACTGTGTTATCCTTTTGATTCTAATTGTAACATCGTATGAACTCTACCTGTGAGGATGATTTACTAATTTTTCAGATTCTTGGTCATTGTTTGTAAGTATTAAAGTGAGACATAATGCAGTACTTGATATGTTGGCGTGTAATGAGCATAGATCACTATAATAATCATTCAATCTTCAGCAAATCATATAATATGTGACATACTTAAAAATATATACGTTTGATCAAATGAAGGTTTTTTTACTAACGATTCTAGTATATTGACATCAGCGAATATTTTTCACAATTAAAAAAATAAAGTATCTTTTGGAGATGTTATTTCTTATAAAGAGTGAACAACCCTATTTTTTCACTTCAAAATAGGGTTGAGTTATTCCAAATGTATGAAATTGTTTTGATATCTACTTAGTGGTACAAAACCGAGATTATTACATTATAAGAATTTGTAAAAATACCTTAACCGTCAATATATATTTCTTATAAAATATAATATAAGCCTTAGTAAGGTTGAGTTATCCAGTGGTAGGAGTTAGCGGTAACCAAGTGAATGATCAAGATACGTACAAAAACAAAAACAAAAACAAAATTATGTGACAAATGTGTTCTTTTTAAATTTGAAGGCATTCTAAAGTCTTCCACTTTACTTGGAGATGTACCTTTTTTACATTTAAAGTTCAGAATGAATACTAAATAAACACTAGTTCCAAACATCTTTTCTAACCATAATCTAGCTCAAAAAATCCATAACAATAACATAGAAAATACTTTACACTTGATATACTGTAAATTGAGAATAATGTACAAGTACTGGAATAGTGAAACAACTAATTACATCATTATGCAGTTCAACAGTTATATTATCCCAGGCATTGATGAAATGGAATTTGCAGAAATTGTCTTGTTCGGCAAGTGCAATCTTCAACTTTCAACATTCAGATCGCAGCTGCTTCAGCTTCCATGACTAATATAGGACCCCGCGATTTATTCACATGGCTACTTCTGTAACCATATGAAACGGTCTTTCAAGCATTTTGCAGGTTCCATGATACCGCTGAGCCATCCAAATCCGAAAGATAATTGATTTGCTTGCAAGCTAATGAGGCGTTGTCTGTAAGGTATCAATATGTTCCTGAGGCCTGCATTTAGCACAAACAGCATTACCAAATCAGTCATCGATACATGAGTATACCTTAAATATAGAATAAATCTGGGAGCCTGGTGCATGGATCATCCCACATTCACGCAGGGTACGGAGAAGGACCGCACCCTAAGGGGTGTTTTGTAGGCAGCCTCCTTGATGCAAGTATCGTGGTTGATTCCACGGCTTGAACCCATGACCTATAGGTCACATGGAGACAACTTTACCATTGTTCCAAGGATCCCCTTCAAAAATATAGAATAAATCTACGATAGCAAATTCTTTGCACCTGAAATGCACATAGTCTTGTAAAGCAGAGCTGTATGAGGATCCCCTCGCGTACTCATGTGAGGCTTCTCCAAACACTCAAGGAATGCGAGGTCTGCCTTGAGAAGCTCAGCTTGGTCATGAGTATCATAGCCCATGTCATGACAATAACAGCAAAAATCCAACCAATCAATCGGTCTTCTATCCCAAACTAAAGACCCTCCATCTTTCCCACTTGACCAGTTTGGTCCACAGTAATGACCATATCGAGGGAAAAACTGTGAAAGGAAAGCTCTTGGACCTGTATGCCAAGGAACTTTCGAGACATATGGTCTAAAGCGTATGGTTGACGTCCGAGCTAGAGAGTTTACACTTTCACGAGATTGCCTACGCCTTTTCAACTTCTTGTTGACAGTTGTTGGCATCTGAATATTACCCTCGGATCCTTTGGCCCAAGGAACAAATGAAAACAGGGTCCATTTCCAAAACTTAGCATCAAACTGAGCCTTTTGTTTAGGTACTTCCATTAGGGTACTAGTAGATACAACAGTTGAAGCCATATCCTTTGCAGATTGGGGTTTCAATGACATGAAATTACTGAGAAACGAAAAATCCATTGCTAGATAGTGGAAGACGCTACCAATGCACAACTTCAGCCACCAGAACTTGTACGATCGGAGTACCTATATCCATACATAGTTGCATCAGATGCAGCAACAATTTCCAGTTGCAATTTTCAAAAACAATGGACATGGTTGCTAAGTACCAGATATAATAACAAACTAGAAGAAAGTATCTTTCGACCAATTCATAGAAAAGGGGAGGTTGTTCCCATTCATATGGAAAAGAGACCTCGTTTTCCTCTTTCTTCCTTCTCTCTCTTTGGTTGGAGAGAGACGAAAGTTACTATTGTATAAAGGAAGATATTTTGCCGTTGCATTGACTAAGGAAATTCGTAAAATCAAAAGCATTAGGTAACTACTAGTACAGTCCATTTCAGTACAAACAATTTACCAAAATAATATGTGCACTCAAATCACACTATAATAGCACTTGCACATAGCACATATACAGTGTAATCCTCCCTTTATGGGTCATGCTCGAGTCACAGAATTTGGAGATGAAACATCAAAAGCTCTATACTTGTTTATATTCAAGTTGACCAAATAATTACATTATGGATTCAGCAATCCAAGTGAATCATTTCTTCATAAATACACACAGCTAATCTTATACACAATTTTTCATTAATGATCTTTTAGATGAGTGATATGAAGAATAGCAAAACTAAGGCATTTACCAATAGCTGTACAGTCATAATAAAAAGATTAGCTGCTCAGAGCATAGTGCTTTTCAATAAAAGAGTTTGTTTAGAAATCATGCTTTTTTCTTTTTTTGCTTTTTATTTTTAAGGGTAAAACTGCAAAGAAATTGTACTAAAGATGCAACAAGGGGATGCCAACACTGTACATGGACTGTAAAAAGGAAGCACAGTGTAGTTGCTCAATAGCTTCAAGCTCCTTCAGACAACCAGGAAAACTAAAGTTTTCCGCAGGTTTTCATTCTTGACCCACCAAAACATTTTAGTCAAATAAAGGGTTAATAAATTGGTGAATACTCATATAAGCTTCTGTAGAACTCAAGGAAACAGGGATAGAGTCTATAGAACAGATTCTGTTCAAGTAAGGTTGTTAGGTTAATACAAGATTCTAGAAACATTCTTATGTTCCTTTCCTTCCGATTTCACCAAAATAAGCATGCACCACATACCTATCCCCAAATTCCAGCATAGCAGTAGTTTCTCTACTTCATGCTTTCCTTTATTTTCTTTACATTTTTAAAATCTATTTCTTCTCAACCAAAATTATTTTATATTCTTTAGATTTTCACCATCGACAATAATTCCGAAACTAAAATGCATTCTAAATATAGCTTCTTGGCTCTTGTAGATACAATGGTACTATCTAAAACTCTAAATATCTTTAGAAGAAGAGAGTGCACAAAATTGGGAGGTTGAAAGTGAGTCCAGGTACTACGTAATGCGTTGGCCGCTGGTAACCAGTCAAAGGGCAAAAAGGAGCCAAGGGGAGGGGGGCTCAGCATAAGTTGTGTAACTGCTTCACCTTATTAAAAAAAAGGAAGTGTAACCACCTCTTGAAGTGGACTACAGATTTCCAGAAGATCGAGGTTTTGCTTAATTTGTCTTTTCTAGGTAACGTATAGATAATTGCTATACTTTATGAAAGTGCATTCTATATACAAGAGCATGGATCACGGATCTTGCACGTTTTGTATCACATCTTCCCGCAGAAAGGGATATATATCTTGCTACAAGCGGATGATGAATACTAACCCACTAGGTCATTCCATCTTATATTTGATGTTGATTCATCCCTATAGTATGAGTGACAAGGTGTATAGCAACGAATGAAGGAGTAAATCCATCAAGTTAAAGCTTGAACGTAGCCACAAATTAATGTTCCATCAAACTTTTGGTGGACAATAGGCGTCTACATGATTTTTTTTATATGAGGCACTTACAAGATCAGAAAACTACCGGTTGAAGATTTTCCAAAAGATATGCATAAATTTTGTTAAAGGTATGCCTCATTCAATAACATGAAGAAGCTCCAAACGTGCATATTTTCAGATCTTACTAAGATTGTATCAACTGCTATTCAGACGGACAAAATCCGTCAAGGAATTCCAGGTCTTACACGGGCTTCTCTTCAACATTTCTCACTATTTACATTTAACGAAAAGGCAGAGAATGCTTGATGAAAAGACTCAACTACTCGCTTTTGCATTGTGAAATTGATGCTTCAAAGTGGGGAATTACGTCCCTTCATCTGGATGCAAGATGAATGCATTTGATTATACCTAACTTGGTCCGATCCTTACTATCACCATTCCACAGATACGTTTTCAATGACTTTGAGAAATATTCAGTAATTGCAGAAAAAATGAGGTCTTATCCATTGGGAGACTTTAAACTTCTAATGAACTTACTTTTGGTTAGACCCCACTGCATTGTTTCAACAGCAAGGTAGTAGATGTTATAGGCATAGCCACCTTGAGGTCGAATGAACCAAGTCTGATATTTAAGTGAAGAATGGTAGAGGGGTGAACCTATTAGCCACCAAGTTACAAGGCTAGAAGCACACTTCTTGGTTATCTAAGGGAAAAAGGGGAACTTACTTTTCGTTATGTAAACAGATCAACGAATCAACTAGTCTTAAATCCCAATATGAATCCTCGACAACATTACACACAACTGCCTTGATAGGCACGTCCAGAGTTCACCATTCAAAGAATTCATCATAGTTATACTATTTTTAAGCTGGCCGCCGATCTACTACAGCCCTCCTCTTTTATCCATGCTTGAAACTGGCTATACTTTGAGAAATTCAAGTAGACGGATGTTGGTTGTGTAAAAAAATAATATGAAAAAAATTTTAACCCTTCCCCTAACATAAATGTCTAAGTATCTTTCATATTCCATATGTTACATGGATTTCAATTAGTAGTACTATATAATGTATGATTCATGTGAGTACTGATTAAAACAAAATATGATTCATGTCAGTTAAAGATCCCGGAGCAGACAACTAGCAAGTTCATACAATAGTCAAGATATGCATAGCTATCAAGTTGGGGGTGATCCTGCACAGTTGCAGATGTGGTTATAAATTCGAAATAACCACCTAACAAAAGGGTGGTTCCCCCTCTCTTAACCAGAAGTTCTAATTCGAATATAGGAATGAATTCATCCCCCATTTGACAGGGAGCACCTTACCCCGATATTAGTTGGTTTCAGATACTAGATGCTAAACAAAAATAAAAAAGATGCCAAGTACTAATAAAAATATCTCATTCTCTAGGACAGTGAAAGAGGAACAGAACACACTACATAGAGTCATAGACGAAATATAAATACTCTTGAAGGGTCTCTGTCTTATTTTCTCCAGATTTTCATATGATTAGCTTAAAGATTTTTCATTACGGGACAAGTACAATTAATTTTTTGGATTTAAATTATATGCACTGACAGGGTAAAGATATTTTTACAATATCACTGAATTTTAATCTATGATAGCAGGTTAGTAACCATTTTTACCATATTATCAAATTAATACTTATCAAGAAATTTATCTGATATTACCTAATAAGTGACCTAATTGTGTAAATTTTTCATACACTATCAGTGCATAGTGCATAGAACTTAAGCTCTTATAAATATGGGTCTCTATATTCTTTTATTTCCAACAACAACAATAAAAAACCCCATTGTAATCCCATAAAGTGGGGTATGGGCAGAGTGGAGCGTACGCAGACCTTACCCTGCCTTATGAATGTAAATAGGTTGTTTCCGAAAGATCCCGGCTCATATTTCCATTACCCAAAATATGGGTCTCTATATTCTTTTATGTCCATTACCCAACAACAACAACGACTCAGTGAAATCCCACTAGTGGGGATTTCCATTACCCAAAATATGGGTCTCTATATTCTTTTATGTCCATTACCCAACAACAACAACGACTCAGTGAAATCCCACTAGTGGGGATTTCCATTACCCAAAATTGACCACAAAAACAAGTTTCTTTTTCCATTTCTCTTCTTCTTCTTCTCCTCTCCTACTACCCACCGCCTCACCATAATTCAAGAACCAGTGAAACCAACATGCTAAAAGAGAATACAAATTCAATAACAGAATCACAATAGAAACATATAAGTTGAATATTATAAAAAGACAAGACTTTGCACTCTAACCATAAAGCTAATACAGTTTAATAACCAAAAAAAAGAATGTTAAACTAAAGAAAACAAGAATCAGTCCAGTTGAGAGGACAAAGTACCTGAGAACCTTCATTGATTAGCAGTTCAGCACAAAAAATGGGTTCATCTGGTGTGTGTGGGNTATTTGTTTGGCTGTGGGAAAATGTGACGCTGAGATGGAATTTCGAAGGTTCTAGCTGCTTAACACGTGTGGTGGGTCCCACTAGTTTTTTATTTTTATATTACACTACCTTTTTTAATTAATTTTTAGGCTATTTTCACAGGGTTAATTCAAAAATAGCCTCATTTACAAGAGTTAATTGAAAAATAGCCACAGTTTCAAAAGTAATCAAAATTTTGTCACTTTTCATATAAAGATAAATCTGAACGAAAATACTGTTCAAAATCCAAAAAATATTCTAGCATTATACACTGGAGTTTGAATTTTTTACATGTGAACTTCCAGCATAATATACCGGAGTTCCAGCATAATATATTGGTCCAGCATAATATGTTGGAAGTTCATACACAGGTGCTCCAGTTTCCAGTATATTAAGCTGGAACTTTCCATGTGCTGGAGTTCCAGCATAATATGCTGGAAGCTCATATACAGGTACACCAATCTCAAGTATATTATACTGGAACTTTCCGTGTTGCAGCAAAATAGTGGCTATTTTTTAATGCCTTTACAAACGAGCTATTTTTCAATGCCTTTACAAACGCTGGCTATTTTTTGATTACCAGTCCGAAAACTGGCTAGCCCGTGCTATTTTTACATTTTCACACATATTAAATAATTCATCTTTTTAGCATTAATTAACAATGAAGTTGATCATATTAACTTTAATTTGTTCGTTGGAAATATAACAAATATTGCTAGGCTCTTTATTCTAGAGGCAGCTTTGAAAAAAAGAAGTTAATTCTTTCTTGATATCTAAAGAAATCAAATATTGTGGACAACAAAAAAATATCAAAATATTAATTAAAGTGGACCGGAAAGAGTAGTTATCTTGTATTGTGTTGAATATTGATTGATGCAATTAATTTGAATGCACGGTAGAAATGCACAGGGTATTTGCATCTATACCCTCTTTTTGTGTCACGTTTTAACTTGTACCCGCTTTGCAAAAAAAATTGCAAGTGTATCCATTTTTTCACATAACTTCAGCATACGGGGCTGAAATAGCAAAGAAAATCACGCAAAACTTCAGCATTCTAGTAGTTGGGTCTGAAGTTCAGCTCTAGAGCTGAAGTTTTTGTTTTGTAACTGTCGAACTTCAGCTCTAGAGCTGAAGTTTTTGTTTTGTAACTGTCGAACTTCAGCTCTAGAGCTGAAGTTTTTTGTTTGTAAGCTTCAGCTCTACAACTGAAGTTTTTATTTGTAACTGGCGAAGTTTTTGTTTGTAAGCTTCAGCTCTAGAGCTGAAGTTTTTATTTTGTAACTGTCGAACTTCAGCTCTAGAGCTGAAGTTTTTGTTTGTAACTGGCGAAGTTTTTGTTTGTAAGCTTCAACTCTAGAGCTGAAGTTTTTGTTTTGTAACTGGGAACTTGAGCTATAGAGCTGAAGTTTTTTTTTGTAACTGGCGAACTTCACCCTTCTTAGAGTTAAACTTCAGCCTACTACATTATGAATACTCCATATATCTTTTCAGCTTGTTGGAAGGTTTGTCTCTTATTTATGTCTTTTTCTTTTTCAGTATACTCTTTTATCAAATATTTCTCATTTTCCCATTGATTTTCTTGGTCTGAGGGAGAACTTGATGTAAACTTTTAGAAACCTACATATGTAATCTGTTTTTTCCTTCTTCTTTTTTTGGTTTCGATATCTTTTTCTGGGCGAAAATACGATTTTACACTTACAGTAACAGAAAAGAAAGAGCCAACAGGAGTTTAGAGCAATTTACTTTTACCCATTAGGTCATAAAGCCTTGCTGCAAGAGAAGATAAGAAAAAAGCTGAAAAGTTTTGAATTTCTTCTAATGGAACTATCATATTGAGGGCGGATATAACTTTGAGGAGGAGGAGGAGAGAGAGAGAGCTGAAGTTGTTTAAAAAATGGGTACAAGTTAAAACTTTTTAAAAAAATAGGTATAAGTTAAATGGGGGCGACCAAATAGGGTGCCCCGTGCAATTTTTACGAAATGCACAAATAACCTTTTTTTAGGATCTTTATTTAAAGAACAACTTAAATTTACAAAATTCTACAGTTTTAAGTATTTAAGGAAGTTGAGCAGATATTTGTCAAAACTGGTTAAACTTTATATAATATTTAAAATTGAATATATTTTATATAAAAGTGCTCAAAATGGCTACCTAATGTCATTTTTATTTGCATTGTTGAAAAATTTTCATTTCAAAAGTAGAAATCGTATCACGTCTCAGATGAATACTTAACACTTTTATTTGTTTCAAAAGGCTAAATAATTTTTTTCATTGACTATTTTTATTCAGTTTGAAAATATGTATGAAAATTTAATATTTGTATATGATTTTGAATATAAAATATTTATCTTAAAAAAGAATTATAAGTTGATGTCCTGATCGGCTATGTTACATAGTACTTGCTATTAATTTCGAGAAAGAAAATATTATTTATTCTAAACTTTAAAAAATACGTGTTCATCCTAATTAACGATGGAATGTAGGTCAAATTTTGAGTCAAATTCCTATGCTGAAGCTAATTGTGAGTTAATTTAGTTTAAGATTAGCCATAGGAAATTGACTCAACCACCTCCAAAATAAATAGGTTAATTAATGAGAACCAAGTTGCTCATCAGATAAGTTATTTTATATGTTTTACCGTCTGATACCCTTTGTTAAATTTTGCTTTAATCTTTTTTAGATAAAAATATAGATAAAAAATATGGGTATTCATAATATTTGTTATTCGGTCAATTTGTTACGTATCAAAGGACAGGCTCGAGTTTATCTATTTTTTGTCTAATTTATTTTTTACCTGTCTATATTCGATACGTCCGGCACTGCTCACAATGGCAAAATAAAATTAGTATTTCAAAAGATTTGAAATATATATATATATATATATATATAAAAAGTCAATCATTTTTACCTATAAATAGCCTAGTGATAAGCAACCATTGTTATCTAATTTTAATCAAGAAATAATCATCTTCTTATTCATTAATCACTACTATCACTAGCTAGCCACCTAAAAATAGTCTAATCATTCTTCTTCTTCTGCCATCATTTTTTATTATAAATTATTTATTTGAATTTTATTGTTCGTGCTCCATCTATTATGAGGAAGACTTTTTAAATATTAATTGGGGAAACTTTTATTCTATGAAATAAATTTTTAGTATAATAGATAAACAAAATCTAAATTAAGGAGTTTGAATTCTAATTTTGGGATGATTTGAAATTAGAATTTATTCGAGTTAATGTTGTTGAAATAGATCTATATCTTTAGGGGGTTGAATCCCAATTTTGGGACGATTTATTGGAAATTTGAGGTGTTTTGAATTGAAATTTCAGCCAAATTCGAAGTAGACGATGAACATTAAAAGAAGACGGTTTGCGTATTCCCTGAGTACCCTCCGTCTTCTCCTATATATCTGTCTATTCCTATGTATCCGTGTATATTTGTGTGTGATATACGTGGATATATAGTGAGGTACATGTGTCGCAAAAATACTTTTCCAATTCGATTTCAACTTCGAATTTTGACTCCAAACCTCCAAATCACCTCCAATCTTTCTCGAATTTTGTATATTCCCTTGTTTATGTGTTTTTAACGCATTTAACTATACCCGTTGAAAAAAAAATTGAAAAACAAATTCTTATGTATTTTGAATGATGTATATCGTTAATAACTTTTTATTGGCCAAAAATGATTAAATGATATGTTGTAGCTAAGTGACCATAAACGTTTTATTTTTTTGGTACATGTCTGTAAATCTGTCAAAAATAAATCTAATGGACGTTTTGCACCGAATGAAGACCAAATGTAGAAGAAACTTAAAGGAAATGCGAAAATGAGAATTATTTAATATTTTGGGTTGATCAGGAGTGAAAAGAAAGGAAAGAATGATTTTTAGGGGTGATTGGGACGAATAAACATGAAGTAAAAGAATGAAATTGATAAGAAAATCTGAATATTTAAGTTAAATATACTGTTATAAATATTGTTTGTTTTCGAATGATCTCTTTTCCATCCCAATGACCCGTTAGTTAAGGATTTATATCATGAATAAAAGGATCTTTACATAAATAATCGGACGCATTCGTTGTTTACTTTTCCTAGTATGTATACATAAATTATACACAGTTATACATATATTATAGCTGGATTAAATTTATGTTACATATTTGCCAACTATTTTTAGTTTAAGTGATTGAATGAACGACTATTTAGGCTAATTCTTGATAAATAAATGCAATCTTTTTTGGTAATCCAACAAATTTCAAGAAAATACGACTCATATCTCTCTGCCATCCTCTTTTGAACCAAAACAAAAACTTATCTTTTTGTTTATGACCTTATCCTCTTCTTTCTCTCCCCCTCTTTTAATCCCTAAAATCCCAAGAAGAATAGTTCTTTTTTTTGATTTCCCACCCGATATTTGGTACCCGCATTGAAACTCGACTATATCTGAATTCGCGCAGCGTAGGATAGACCATTACAAGCACTCCATGCAAATTCTACCCTTGCCCAAATTAAAAACCAATCGGAAGAGAAAACCAAAAAATTACAAAGCCAAAATTGTGATTCAAAATTCAGTTGCAGATCCAATTTTCTCTAAATTATTAAATGTGACACAACAAAAGAAGCTTGGGAAAAGCGTAAAAAAGAGTATCGAGAAAGTGATCGAGTCAGACAAATGCAGATTTTAAATTTGAAAAAAAAAATTGAATCGCTTAGAATGCAAGAAGACGAGACTATCACTTGGTATTCTAATAGGATTTCTTCTACTATTAATAGAATCAGGTTGCTTGGCGAGGATTTCAAAGATGATATAATAGTTGAAAAAATTCTTGTGACGGTTACAAGAGATTCGAGTCCAAAATTTCCTCACTAGAAGAGTCTAAAGATCCCTCTACCATCTCTATTGCAGAATTAATAAGTGCTCTTCAAGCACAAGAATAAAACAGAGAATTTAGACAAGAAATAGCTA